ACATAATAAGTCCATTTTAAACAACAAACGGGACCTCCACCATATGATACGCTTGTAATCCTCGATGTTGCATAGGACCAAGGTATCAGGGGAACTAGCTGTCTGATGACGTATACTTTTCTATTTTACATTTCTCTATTACATTGTTGGGTTGTTGACGACGATGTTTGCCAAGATTTTATATCACATCTTATGTGTCCCAAGAATAACTGAGTCTATTGTAAAGTACATTTTTAATTCCATTTCAATATAGTAAAATAACTTTATAATCTATTAATACGTGTGTACAGTTTCAGCTCAGATTATCAACTGACCTAGCATAAATATTTCTTTCTGAATTCCCACGATCGCAACTTTAAACCTTTCAACTTTAACATGTGTTTTTAATCATTTCTCACTCCTATTTAGATCTTACCAACTTTACTCTAAAGTGCACTCGCCACATCGGTTTCTATTTTAAACTATGTTCCACGGTGACGGTCATCTTTTTTAAATGGTAACAGCCTAGACTATCGGCTATTTGATAACAATTTTACAGAAAGAAATCGACAATAAGTACCTTAAGCCAAGGGGGTATTTCTGTTAGTGTTAACCCCGTCATGCAAGTTGACCTCAAGTAGATTATGTCCTTTGATTGAGTTAAGCTATTTCAGTTGTTATTTTATAGTGTGTCTTTCTATGTTGTGATGTTACAATATTGTTTCAGAAAAAGGATGAAGGTTTGGTACCATTAAAACGTTTAAACCCGCTGCATTTGTTTGCACCTGTCCTAAGTCAGAAATCTGATGTTCAGTAGTTGTCGTTTGTTGATGTGGTTCATAAGTGTTTCTCGTTTCTCGTTTTTTATATAGATTAGACCGTTGGTTTTCCCGTTTGAATGGTTTTACACTAGTAATTTTTTGGGGCCCTTTATAGCTTACTGTTCGGTGTGAGCCAAGGCTCCGTGTTGAAGACCGTACTGTGACCTATAATGGTTTACTTTTATAAATTTTGACTTGGATGGAGAGTTGTCTCATTGGCACTCATACCACATCTTCTTATATCTATAGGCTATTCTCTTAAGGTTTCTTTTTGATCATATAGCTCAAGAATTTGTGAGGTTTACAGAATAAAAAGAGAATAATGGGCATATAATGCAGAATAAAGGGCAAACAGCTAACGAATAGAGAATAAAGGGCAAAGTAGATAAAGAATAGAGAAAAACGGTTTAAAAAATTACAGCATAAATAAATGAAGGACCCTCATCAAGACCACCATTTATGCATCCTTGGCTTTCGATCATTTTAGAATTTGAAAACTTACCTTCATATCTCTCTATGTTTTGTATGCATTTAAATTAGTTCTGACCAGTCTGATAATTTTTGATAAAACACATGTTGATAAATATACCTTGTGTAGTTTCCGCCATATCCATTCGGACATTGCACTCTGCAATTTCCTATTAATCATAAGAGAAACAGATTTTATCACTTTATTCCGTTGACTACAAGATTTATCTACTTTCGTTAGTTGAATTTTAAATTTTCAAATGTTTGGTAAACCTCGCATTTTCAAGCTTTAAAATTAGTTATCTGGGGTAGATAAATATTGTATTTGATGGCTTTGTAGAATCTATCTGAAAGAGTTGCAGAAAACAGTCCAACAGAGTTTTGAGTAAAAATAAACGTACTTTTAGTCTTAAAAAACAATCCTAGACTTACTTGCATAGAAAAAATAATTTAGCTGTATGGGTCCATTCTAACTCTCTTTCATATAAAAAAAAAGTCTAATAGTCGCTATCGGAAATTGTAATACGATCATCCAAATTGTCATGAACATTTGAGAGGGCCTGGATAAGGGTTTAAAGGAATATAAAAAAATTTAAAAAATAAAAAAAGAGAATAACTAAAATATAAAGAATATATATATACATAGAATAATGGGCAAACTGAATAAAATTGAGAAAAATTGTCATAATAATTAAAGAATCAAGAAGTGAAAGACGCCCATCCAGACCCTCATAATACAAATCATTACAGAAACTTTTACTAGTATTCAAAATGTTCGCTACCGTCTTGTTTTTGACATTTTTTCAGATATTCAGAATCCTCAAGTTTTATCCATGTATAGTGCCAATAAAAATTTTGCACACTAACCCCTACTTTTCTTTTCATAATTTTATTTCATATAGTTTAAAAAGCCATTTTTGAGGATCTTATAAAAATCCTTGTTATTTTTTCATAGTTTTTGAAAGTAAAAAAGTGCCAATGTTAAATGTATGAAAAATCAAGAGAATCATTACCTGCCAAATTTTCAAGCGATTAGACTCAAAAACAAGGACACGGACCTGTCATTTTCTTCTTCTTTTTAAGTTCTCCTATTTATATACTATCAATTTTAATATGACAGTCTTTTAACAAGCTTGTTATTTTGAAACAGAGGAGTGAACATCCTTAAAATAAATATATGAAACTTTACTTACATCTCCTTTTATTTCATAGAAATTGATTCTTTTATATATACTATCGTATAGTCATGCATTAGGGGATTTCATCATTCTAAAACACCTCAATGTAGAATAAAATGTATAATAGTTGGGTTAAACGCAATATTTTCAATATATTTCAAATTAAACGAAATCAATCGAACTTTTAAAAAAAGTACAGCAATATGGAAATTCAAGGCAAAAAAAAACAATTAAAGGGCATTAACTGTCAAACACGTGTCCATTGAATGGTTTCAAATTATCACATATTATTTATAACATACTCAATCGTATAAATGAATAACAAATTCCACAGGTAACAATAAACAATGCATGAAATCGTAAAAAGTATCAATATTTTAGAACCGGACGCCATCTAATCATCCATCGACATGATCTTCAAAGATTGCCGATGGACATGTGACCCCGGTTTTAACAAAATACAAACAGATAAATACGAATAGCACGTGTAATAGTGTACTTGCGATTTGTTTGTTTAATTTCATATCGCGAAGTTTTGGGCTTATAATATTTTGCAAAAAATAGCAAAATACTAATAATTATTCAATATTCCGTTCTTGTTCGAAATCTTTGAAGTAAAACATTACCTATTGAATAATTATTTCAAATTACATTTTCAAAATCGTAGCGAATGCACCTTTAAATAATCAATTATTAAAATTAATAAGTTGTTAAAGGGGAGCAGGTTCCGACTAACGTAACAGTTGAACCTCTTTTATCTTTTTAAAACCGGAAGTAAAAATGAAAGCGTGGAATTTCACTAAGAATTTCAAAAAGAATAATTTATTTAATGTGATATTAACTGTTCTAGCTTTTATCCAGTTTTAATTCTCTTGAAACAGTACATGCTGTGCAACACGACGAATTTCAATAATGATTAATTTTGTTCTAGTGAATAGGAAAATTAAAGGAAAATCGAATTTAACAAAGAAAGGTTACCATGTTTGGCGTCAATACTTTTAAGTCTAATAATTATTTGAACAATTTTATACATAAAAAAAGCAGTGAGAAATGTGTCAGATTTGACAGAAACACTTCAGGCGCCAAAAGTAATAGGCTATGTCACAGTGTAAACTTTCCCAGATCAATATTAACAGTTCACAGAAAAAGTCTGATCGAAATTATAGGTCAAAAATTGAATTTATATTATTTTAGCACTTAGGTGATCTCGGTTTTTTATAATTATTTGGGTCAAGTGATAATCATGTGGAATCACAACAAAATTTAATGCCATCATAATTATCTAAACCTGACAAAATATTTAAGTAAATTACAATTTTAAATTAGGTTGTCATTTTCTTTTTCCTATCTTGTCATTCATTTTGTATTCTTTCTCCGGTGGATTTCTCTTTAAAGAGCACTCATTCAATCATATCAGGACTAATCTTCAATCCGCTGATACTACGTACATGATTTATTATGCATACAGCAATCCACTTCAACCGTGGTTAGAGCAAGTGTCATAATTATGGCAATAAAAAGTATGATTGAATGATACGATTTTGTCGTTCTCCTGACAAAATAGTGTCACTAAACATTGATGATCTCACACTGGTCGGTCATAAACTACCCTACAGGTGTCACGTATCTTGTCAACGACATTGACATATTTTAGCGGTGTATTCGATGTGTGTTTTATAGTGTATTGAATCGGAAACACACTTCCGTGCAAGATTGATAGCTTCACATTGATGACCATATAACCGCAATCCTTCCCCGTTCGGTTTTATCGCATACCAATGACATTTATAGTGTTTACCTAGAAACTATGTTTCCTGTAATTTTGAAATTCATGCTAAGGTCTGTTCCATTAAACATTTGATTTGTGGCATTCACGTGCACGGAAGCATAGACCTTAGAAATGGGATGTTCATCTATAAAGGCAAAATTACAATTTTACTTTCATTTTCACTGTACAAAAAAAGTATTTGAAAACCGTGCCCTCCATGAGCCCATGCATTTTTAAACATGTATACAACTATCATGAACACATGGGGTTATCGTCATTTTTATTCGACTATAGAGTCCAATATTTAAATTATTGGTTTAGTTTAACAAAATTAAAGGGGTATCCAACACGTTGAATAAAATCGATTTGATTCGTTTAATTTTCATAAAAAAATTTTAAAAAATACACTTTGACCTGCTGACAAAAATATATAGATTTCAAGCAATTTGAATCACACAATTTACAGGAATAAGAAATTTCATTGGATATATAACAGTTTGACAAGCACTAATTTTTGAATATTGAGAAACTTGATTTCTCTTTACTTAAAATATGGGATTGAAACGTTAAGTTGATTTTAAAGAGTTAACTCCCTTATGTGTGCTGTACCAAAGAGAAAAGAAATGTTTGCAAAGAGTTACAACTCCTGTCTTTATAGATAACTTGATGTATTATATAAAGATAATTGAAATTTATAATCAAATATATATACTTCAAATATTTGTAATATATTCTATACTTTATTAAATTAAACAAATAAATATTTTGTAGAATACAAGAAAAGGATATTATCCAATGCAAGCAGAAAGGGGACGTGTTGTTTCATCATCATCAATGATAAATAGGAGACCAAGGAAAGTCATGTCTAAAACATTTCAGACCATTATCAATAATAATCGTAATCAGCCATCAAATAACCAACCAAAAAATAACTTTCTAAACTCTGTTCCATTAACAACCAAAAGCGGAAATCCTACTCAGTATAGTCCATTCAATAACGTTGTTGCACCTCCAGTATCTTCCCGAAATATAGGTGGTGTACCGAGAATCGGAGGTGTACCAGGAATCGGAGGTGTACCAAAAATACGAGGTGTATCTAGTTTAAACAATTTAAACAGTGCAAATATTCGAGCACATCTTATCAAGCTGATAAGTAATATGAGCCCAGAACAGTTGAGTTTAAATGCACAAAGTCTTGGAAATCTTAATACTGCACAATTAGTGAATAAAAATACGAAACAATCTACTGCATTGCCTCAGGCTGTCAAAAACACCATTAATGTCAAGGTAGTGAGGAAAAAGACCGTAAAGGTCCCACTACCAAGCTTGATAAATCCGAATGTTAATCGAGTCCACCGTACTGAAGTTAAAAAAATCAGAAAAAGGCCCATCATAACAATGGTTCCAAAACGGAATACTATACCTACAGTACTCAAACCGATCGCTGATAGAAAACGACTTACAATGATTGAAAGACTTAAGGCTATTCCAGCATTAAGTTTAAGCGCTATGAAAAATACAGCAGGAAATGTCGTACAAGGGGAAGTAACCAACCAACATCAGTCGACACAAAAACAAAATACAGCTAACATCGAAGGGACAAAGAAAATTAAAGTCATCGCTAAAAACAATACAGCGGAAGTTAAAATTATCAACGAAAATCCCAAAAGTTTAACCGGAAGTAATAAGAATGATCCTAATTTTATTGTACTAAAGGATATAACGATAACCAATCAAACAGTTGGAGAGAATGGTACTTTTAATGGAACCAAGATGAGTGTAACTCTTATGTCCCAAGCAACAGGTGGACGTCCTATCGTTATAGAAGCTAACAGCAACATTGTAGTTTCACAAGAAAAAATGCCAAACGGAACAGTTCAATTTATTATTAAGACTGATACAAAGACATCAACTGTCCCTACTACGACAACGGCTGTCAGCACAACGCTTCCAACAGAAGAACCACCGGAATTAGACGAAATAACCCCACCCCCTACAACAACAGAAGCGTAATACACGTGCTAAGAAATTCCGAATGAAATATCGTCCGAGCCTCTCTGGCGTTTGTGTCTGGATTTATCCTTGGGCATTTGATTGATAAAACTATGAATGTAAAAAAAAAGTGTCCAAGACATGTTTAACAACGTCAGAGATTGGGTGACTCATGGTAAGACCAGTGTAAGACTGATAGAAAAAGGTCAGTGTTCCGGAAATCATGAAAGTAGCATACTGGGAACATCACGGCGTAACCATGTTAGCAATTCCGGTTATTACAAACACTAAGCAGTGACAACAGAACTTATACTGTCTCTTATATGTTAGTATTATCATTATTTTGAATCTGTGATATTATTTTGTGTCTGATAATCTTTGTATATTCGAATGCATGTTTAGCTTTCATATACATCGTGTATGTATTCTTATCGAGGGGTGCTCCGTTTACGGAGGGATCTTCATACATACATGTTGAAGATGTCAATAATTATAATTTAGTACCTTGAGATATGTGGTTAGATGGTCGTTAAGTCATTCAAAATAAATACCACATGTCAGGAGACGTATCTATATATCCATGACTGTAGGCACTATTTGGAAATTTTATGTATAGAAGCAAATGTTAGTGCAATTTTAATATGTTTGCAATGAGTTTACATGCATGCACTAGTTGATTTTAATGTTAAATTTGCCTTCCATTCAATTGTTTACTTTTATTTTTGTACCCACACGGTGGTGGGTATTCGATTTATGTCAGTAAGAATTAAAAAGGGTCCTGACGGGGGTACATCATTTCTGCATACTTCATTTTTTAGGTCATTTGTCTCTTCTTTTCTTTATTGTTTTATTATTCTCAATAATCTTTATTTTTCTCTATTCTTTTATTTTTTGGCTTAATTTTCTGTAGTATTGACCCATTATTCTGTATTTTATAAATCCCGGTCAGACCCTAATGTATCATAATACGTCTAGGTTAGTCTATGGAAAGGTATATACTATGAAATTTAGAGCGAGGGGCTTGCCCCAAGCTCTTAATTTCATAGTATATACCTTTCCATAGACTATCCAATTTAGCACATATTTACAACTCGAGTAATCTTTTAATTGGTCTATTGATAGTTTATTTTGGCTGACTACTTGTATCACAGGTGTTTGTAAAACGGAGCTCATTAACGAATTTTGTAAATCTACTCACCAGTATCATTGTAAAATATGTGATTTCAAAAGGCCCTTCACTCCAGAATGAAAAGATGGTAGCTGCTGGTGTAAGTATGTATACTGATATAAAGCGGTGTTTTACTATACATGTTCTTCTTAGGTAAGATGACAAAATGAATTGACCAAAAGCAGGTAATAATGAAATTGCAGTGGAAGCTTTACATGTTTTGAAAACATTTTTTAATTTCACAGTAAAACTAAAGCTATAATAAATTTGAAACATATAGATAGTTTGTCCCCAAAGATATAGTCTAGCAGATAGGCATTAAAAAGCAACGTCAAATAGATCAGAGATTATAGGTTTTGTGTGTTTTTTTTTATTAGTTCAAAGTAAAAACTAAAAGATTTATCAGAATATGTTTATATATATATATATATATATATATATATATATAGGTGGCACATTATCTTCAGACATAATCACAGTTTTTCAATTCATGACATCGTCCTGAACATGCAGGAAATATTTGCCACTGGACATTAAGCAACCAATAATCAATAAATCAATCAATTCATGACGAAATAGATCACTTTCCTAAAGAAAGTTTAAAAAATTATTACCAACTTGCTTTAATTTTCCTTCACAAGTTTTCATAGTACACACTTTTCTGTGTACAAAGTAATTGCATGGATGATACATTATCATAATTTTAAGATATCGTTGTACTCTAATCAAGGTATAAAGAACCATATGTATTACCCTTTATTTTAATGATAAAATTTGCAATTGTCAAAAACATTTTTTAGATCCAAAGATTTTAATAGCAGGATATTTAAAAATCAATGTGAAAACTAATTACAAACTATTTAATTTAATGTCTTTAATTTGGAACACAGCATTTTATTTCAAAATAGCCAGTGGCAATTTTTGTTTTAAATATCTTGATTACGATACAATGAAATCTTACCCTTGTGGTCATTCATGCGTAGTTACTTAGTACACAGGAAAAGTATGTACTATGAAAATTAGAAGGCAAATATAAGCAATTTGATTGGACGAGAAGTTGTAAGTATGTGCTAAATTGGGATAGTAAGCTGAGCTTTAACATATAATAATTGCTTTAAAGGTGTTAAATTTTGATTGAGTGAGCAAGATTGGGCAGCCCTCTATTGGCTGGTGGAAAATGACAAAATTCCTTAAAGCTGTAGTTTTCTTGTAAAGGTTATTTTTAAAACATGTGGTTAATTTTCCTAATAGCATTGTTTTTCACTTTTATAAATTACGGATAGATATCATAAGTAACTTGATTTCATTGGGTAAATTTTAATACCGTTAATGCAAGCTATTTCATTTCTTATGATTTTTTGTTTAATTTGTCACGATTAGCATTGGTTTTAAAACGAATTCATTTAAAGTGACGGAAATTTGCTATATTAATTTTGATGCAGGGCTTAGTGCATGTTTTCTTTAGTAAATTAATATTGCATTGTTTCTAAATAATGCTTGAGAGATAATTGTTTTGTACAAGATGTGCTTCTGAATTAGATAGACCAAAGCTGTTGGTCTTAGTTTGTTTAACATTTGTTTTATATTTTTTTTTCATTTTTATTTGTTTTAAAAGTTTGCCATTATTATTCTTTGAACATCATATTATTACTTTTCCAATGATTAGTATTTCACATGCGTTGATAATTGACCTCAATTTTGATATTTCGGAGGTCATGGTACTAACCTATTTTTACTGGAAACGCAATGTGGAAGGACTATTCACGATAGGAAAAGGTTCTTGATAAACCAAGCCGACGAAGTGATCGAAGTTGTGGAGATTGTGTAAATCGTAGGGTTGTTAATTTCAAACATGTTAAATTATTGATAAACGTCAAACGGAAAATTTTCTTTAAAATTATAATTTCGATCGTAAAAAAACTTGTTGTTATGGAGATTACCCACCCCCTTTTTTTGTATTCCATATCAGGGCGAGTAACTTGAACGTGGTTTATTGTGGGAATGATATTGCAATAAAATTTGGAAAAGAAATTAATTTTTACGCACCTTGATATTATTTTTTTATGATATTTACTTGTTTAAACTGTAACATTGATTTAACTAATTTTTAACGGCAAAATAAGGATCAAAAGTACCCAATGAAGATAGCAAAATATGGCTCTATATTGTATATAACACACAAGACTGTCGGGTCACTTCCCCCTTTTTTCTTTAGCGATCTGACATGAATTTTGGTTTATTATATTCGAATTGTAATACTCATTGTCGGTGATTCCCCATATATGTCAGTATGTCAGAATCTATGTTCCAATTGTCCGAGGATTTGATAAATAATGATTTTTATATTATAATAAATCACGCCTCCAGGGGATAGGGCAATAAATATCGCACTGTCTCTTTGCACAGGTGTCAACAATTCATTAGAAGACTAATTTTTACATATAACCTATTTTTATTTAAACCTGGGACAATATACATGTATGTATTAGTCCCGTTTAAAACTAGATATTTATTTTCATAATTTTTAGACTGAGAAAAAGTCATTCATAGGGGAGATTTTTTAAAGACATTAATGCATTTTTAAATTGACGACCCTGGTTTGCAAATTTCAGAAATTTTAGCAAAGGGAGAAAACTCTCAAAGGGGTTAGACTGTGGTCCCAGTCAATGCAAACCTTACAAAAGAAGCAATTTTAAATTGCGTTTACACATCATTTCAAGTCGGAAAATTGTTACGATTTGCTGATTTTAGTTATATGTTCGTGTGGTTGCCCCTGTGTTTGGGTTACCAAAATATCATTTAGCCCAACCGAGGTATTCTGTCCACACATATCTGTGAATTAGAAGTTCTCTCCATATTCGGCACAAGTTCTATTTATTTATTTTTTTTATTTCTTTAAATTAGAATAAATAGAAAATAATGGGGTGGTGAAATATAAAGAATAGAGAATAATGGTAGAAATAAATAAAGAATAGAGAATAATGGTAGAAATAAATAAAGAATAGAGAATGATGGTAGAAATAAATAAAGAATAGAGAATAATGGTAAAAATAAATAAAGAATAGAGAAAAATGGTCTAAAAAGTTAAAGGATAAAGAGATGAAATACCCCCAACCTCGGTCAAGACCTTCCTGTAGTAGCCGAACACCTTTTGACCCAGTTTTCCAAGTCGAATCGTATAGGCCGTCTTTCATTTCTATGTTCCGAGATGGTGATCATCATTAGTCCTATTCGTAGTTTTGTTGTTGTGTGTTTTAATTTGACGGACATTGGTCTAGTGGATCCAAGGGGGGGGGGGGGGGGTTCAGGGGGTTGGAACCCCCTTTTTTTGACGATCAATGCATTTGAATGAGGACATATAGTTGGAACCCCTCCTTTATCCTGGGTTAGGAACCCCCTTTTATAAATGGCTGGATCCGCCCCTGGGTAGGTAAAGGAGGAGGATTGTGTGCAGGGAAGACTTGTTTAACCCAACCACATTTTGTGCTTGTTTTAAGTCAGTCCGGAACAACAACTATTAGGCTGACTTAAAACAAGCACCGTGAAAATGTAGGGACGCATTACATTTGCGCGCATTTGGGTATTAAAATATTTTACATTTGCACGCAACTTTTGATTACATATGCGTGCATTCATTTTACATGTAAATGATAGGTAAAAATGAAGTTAATTCATAATAGATATGATATTTTTAACTTTAAACATATTTGTAAATTTAGATTAAATTATATATTTTTCATATTGAATAAATGAGAGCAAATGTAATCAAAAGCTGCGCGCAAACGAAATGATTTTTACGCGCAAATGTAATGGTAATCGGCGCGCAAATGTAGTTCCTGTTATCCTTTTAATGTATAACATTTTACATTTTATGTATACCATGTTTGGTACAAAAATAGATGTTATACCCAATGGGTTGTATATCTATCATGGTAGAAATACCCGAGTGACGTATAATAGGCGAGTTCCGGAATAGCTGTTGTTTCAATGTGGAGGTTGAAAAAGGTTGAAAAAGTCGTATCACGTGACATTTTCCTATGCATCTGCCTAGCTTTTTACAAAAAAAAAATCACTTCAAAAAGTCGTCTACATTTTTCTATGTTTACTTCTTACCCCTAATGAAAACTAACCGTAAGGTGACATCACCCATTTTTTTTTATGTTTTCCTATTCATGCAGAGGACGTTGTATTGGTCCAGGAACATATATATTGTTAGATATACTGTTCCCAGATTGGTCCTAACATTTTGACGTTATCACGTGACTTTTGAGTGTGAAATAAAATCGGACATGGAAAAACAGACTATTTCGGAACTAAAGTGTTCATGAGTAACGTTTAATAGTAGGTACTATGTACCTTCGTCTACAAAAATTTTAATTTTAATTTTTTTTTATTTGTTTTGCATGACTTGAAGTTTTATAAAAATTATCATAAAGTCTTTGATTTGTTTTTGTGTAAAAAAAATTTGCACAAACAGCTGGTTTAGAATGATGGCTGTAAGATTTATGTATGTTCATTGTATTTTTTTTATTTCATCTGTCATTTACAGTGCATTTAAGGGGGTACGTTTTGGGTTAAGGGTGATAATTCTTCAATCAGTTTGTTTAAAAAGTCACTGTCATCAAAAAGTTTTAAGAATTCATGTGAACAGAATTTAATTGACTTGTTTTACTAAAAAACTTATTTGTGCTTTTGTATTGCGCCAAAAAAAAACCCTTTCATTTGCAAAAATAAAATATTTCATTTGCGCCAAAATATGACATTTCATTAGCGCCAAAATGAAATATTTCATTTG